TGCCTGTTCAGCCGTTTCCTTGGCCATCAGCAGCCCCTGTTCCTTGGCCTGCCTGGCCTCTCTGAGTTTCAGGCTGTAGATCCCTACCTATTGATCGAGTACAAATAAGAAATGAGAACCTGGTAAATTAATGAACAACCGAAAAAAGAGAGGTGATAAGAAATTACCTTCAGGGCAGCCAAGGCAATACACTCTTCGGCCTCCTCGACCGGCATCGGAGGAAGGTTATGCCCATTGAGGAAGCCCGATGTGGACCAAATCTGGCTTGCTGGACAGCCTCCCCTTTCCAGCATTCCATGAGCGGGATCTTGAAGGGAGATCTGCTCAAACTGGCTCGCCAAATCAGCCTGGTCGGCGGCCAATTCCTCAGCGGAAAAGTGGTGAGACTGCTGATCAGAGAAGAGCTGATCCATCAGCATATCAGCATGTGAAGATTGCTGTTCAGGGGCAACCTGCTGCACAGGTTCTACATCCCGAACAGGTTCAGACTGCTCGGGGACGGTGGGGGCGGATTGGGAGGATGTCCCCTGATCGGCCTTCCTCAACCTCTTCCTCTTTGTCTTCCTCTGCTGCTTAGGAGGAGAGGTTGGTGGCTCATCATCAAAACCAACGGTAAAGAGCCTGCTGTCATCCATTGCCGGCGGTTCGGGGTTGTCTCCTTCGGAATCTGAAGATTCGCCTTGCTTTGGAGCTGAAAAGACATAAGGAACAAATTAGTACCGAGCGGTTCACACGTGGATTGAAAAATTATATCACACGGGAAGGACCGCCCGGGCCATGGTACTTGGTTTTCAGTCAAGTAAGTCCAGGAATACGGGCAGTACCTATCCCGGCTTTAATAAGCCGTTCGGGAGTCAGATATGGCATAATCTGGAAGCAACCACCCGCCTCCACAGCAATGATATCCTGGCTAAGGTCTTCAGAGATGAACGGTTCGGGGGACTTTGGCGGAAAGGCGTTCCACTTTCTTGGGATCAGGCCGGTTGGGACAGATACAAAAAAGAACCGATCTTTCCATTCCTTGATGGAGGAGGGAGCCTTGGAGAACAAAATATGACCTGATCGGGAACTCGCGACTAGATAACCCTGGGCTTGTTGCGGGATGATCGAGAAAAAGTAGTGAAACAGATCTAAGGAAGGGGTCACCTTAGCTTCCACACAACGACAAATAAAACCAGCCATTGCCCGGTAGGAGTTCGGCATTATTTGGGCTGGCACTATATTATAATAATTTAAGAGGGAAACGAAGAAGGGGTGAAGGGGGAACCTAAGGCCGGCCTTAAGGGAATCAAAATGGACCACGACCATCCCTGGGAAGTGGCGCATTGGGTGGAGCCCCGATTGGAGGCGGAAGTCCACCGAATCAGGAAGTAACATCTGGATTTGGGCCCGGTTCTGGGCCGTGAGCTTTTGGCGCCTAAGCCTAATCAGGGCTAGGTCAAGCTTATGACAGGGAACGCCGCTTGGAGGACCAGCTTTCATAACTTCCAATTCGTCCCCCGATTTGGTGCCATCAGGGTAAACGTCGGAGGAGGAAGAGGAATCATCACCGTTAACTTCCGCCGGAATAGGGACAACTCGCAGCACATCGATGGGGTTTTCCTCTGGGATTGCGGTGCCGGAAGTAGAGGGTTCAGATGAACGAAGGGGTGCCATTCTCACCAAACGAGGGAACTAAACAGTAGAGGGAAGTTCGAAGGATACCTGAACAGAAGCAGCGGAAGAAGCTCTAGAGAGAAGGCAGAGTACTAAGCCGGAGATGCAAAGTTTCGAAACCCAGAATCAAAACCAGAGGAGCCTATTTATACTCTGCCACGCCGATTCAGCTGCCAATCAGAAGAGGACACGTTTCTTGTAATGATGACAGAGACACGTGTCACACAGAGAATCCTTCTCAGGTAATCATGGCGTTTATCGGAGAAGTGAAACGGCAGTTGCAAATAACCGTCAAAATATGCCTCGGGAACCGGCGGGATGCCATCCGATATTCACCCGAACAGCATTCGGGCAATAATTTTCTACTTCCTTATGCACTCACTACCGTTCGAGACATAGGAAGTGGGGGACTAGTGTTGGGATATTGGGTCCAGGCCCAATATCCCTAGGCCCAAATCCAGGAAGAAACAGCGGGCCCAAGGCAGTCCAAAAGAACTCTCGAACGGCATTCGGGATAAAATTTATACTTGGAACATTCCGGGAAACAATTGTGCCAAATCATCAAGGCCATGTATCGATCGGCGTTCGGGATATGTTCCTAAGCAGGATAACACCTATGACGGGGTCCCACACACCGAACACCCTGCCCGAACGGGCAATCATCAAGTGGAAGCCGCATTTAATGCTGGATCATGGCAGCAGCAAGTGGGGGCATGGGTGCTTACATGGCAAAGGTGATAGCCTACCAGATTCAACCACGTGTCCACCTTACCCATCCCCATTTTAGTATAAATATCCATGTTTAGATCATTGTAAAGGGTTAGCATTTTAAGACTCAGAGCTTAAGCAATAGATTTACATCTCCCATCCTTGTAATCTCATATTCATCTACCGTTCGGGTAGTTTCAGTGTAATTGCTTAATTACTAAATATAAGTAAGTTCTTGAGTTGGATATAATCTCACTGTTTTATATTTTATACACATTTTCAATCCTACCCAGATCCCTACAATATCCAAGGCTTGTGTTGGGCTTTCGGATCTTCGGGAATAAACCTCAACAACGTCATTTATTTTTAACTCGATTTTATTGTATAAAATAATGTTTTTATTTTTATATATGCAATATCGATGTCATATGAAAGATCATTAAAATTATAAATTTTGATATATGTTTTTGTAAAAGTTGGAGTACAAATAAATAAGTTATAATACATTAAAAAAGTTTTTTCCCCATTCCCTTTGTCCAAATGAGCAATGATGCACGTAGTGAATAGCAACAATGAACCGCTTCAACTTATATGAATTAAATATTTTAGTAGTAGTGATAATATTTTTTTTATTAGTCAGTAGAATTTTTTACTTTGTTTTGCTATATAAAATAACAAATATTTTTTTACTTATATATATATATATATATATATATATATATATATATTGATGTCATATGAAACATAAAAAAAAATGAATTTTGATATATTTTTTGTAAAATTTTGATAATATATATAAAAGTTATCTCACTATAAAAAAGGAGATTTTTTCTCTTTGCTCCAAATCGGCCTTGATGCGTGACTTTAGGAGGAATAGTAGTCATAACCGTGAATTAGTGATAATGATAATAGAATTTGCATTAGCCCAGACCGACACAATTGATTTTTAACTCAAATTTACTTTTTAAAATTGTAGATAGACATATAATTAAATTAGACTGGACTAAAAAGACATAAAAGTTTCTAAAATACACACAGACCAACGATTTATCAAATCAAATCATACCATGCATGCATATTGCCTAAACATAAAACAGTAAATGCTGAGGAATGATTTAGAAAGTATTATAAAATAACTAAGAAAATATTACTAAATGGTGATCGAACTAAATATTACGTAGTATAAAATACCTAAAACAATATTACTTTGGAGAGCTAAATGGTGAGGAATGATTTAAGAAATACTGTATTAATTAAAAAAAGGTTAATGCAAGATGATAGATTTAAAGTTATGCAAACTCTTATATTGTTGATTCTCTCTCAACCGATATGATTTCCTAAATAAATAAGTCAGCATCTAGATTTTTTTTGTGGTGATTGTTAATTTATAGAAATTCTTTTTTCTTTTCATTTAAAACAAACAATTTTGCATAGAGCAGATACTAAATTCATTTTGATGGATTACTATTTGTCTCTTGTTCATTTTTTGTACTCCCTCCGTTCTTTATTATTAGTCCCTCTAGGCTTTGGCACGAGTTTTAAGAGGAAAGTAGTATGCTAAGTATAGAGTGTGTAGGGTATATGTTAAGGTAGGAAAGACAGTATATTAAAAAGAGTAAAGTAATGATAAAGTAGGAAATAGAGTGTATTAGAGCATCTCCAATACTATAATGTCCACGGTGCACATGTGGCATGAGTGATAGCCACACAAATATTAGTAAATAAATTATTTCTCTCCTTATTTGAATGATTTTATACAATTTTGGTAAGTTTTTCCCTGCAATGTCAACAACAATGTCAACATCTAGACGGTCTCCTTGACAGTGTGGAGAAAAACTTACCAAAACTGTATAAAATCATTCAAATAAGGAGAGAAAGAATTTATTTACTAATATTTGTGTGACTATTTTTCATGCCACGTGTGCACCGTGCACATTTTACCATTGGAGATGCTCTTAAGAAGAGTAAAGTGATGGTAAATTAGGAAAGAGAAAGTAGTTTGTAAAAAGTCGTAAGTGGGGTAAAAGTAATAAAAGTGGAGGTATTTTCTCAAAAACTTTCCTTAAATGGAAAGGAGGGCAAATAAAAAACGTCCAAAAAGGAAAGAAGACTAATAATAAAGAACTAACGTAGGGATTCATGTCACCTATTTAGTAGGCGTTAAGTTTTTTATAATATCCGAATCCAATTTTCACATAGATGAATGTATATAACAAAATAACACAAAGCTAGCTACAATGAAAAAATATACCAATAACCCCGCTTGTTAAAGAAAGAGAGAGTTTAGTTTGCAGGATAATTAATCATCGGTCTACAAAAATTAAAGCTGAGTCAATTATTTTTTAAATAGGAAAATGTTTATAATAATTAATATGAAATGATACTCCGTAAAAATTAAAAACGCATGTCCTTTGTTAAAATGATTTTAATAAATGTATAAATAAAGTGGGAGACATTGACTAGCACGTAGAAATTAAAGGCGAGAGATAAAAAAAAGTGGTGGGAAAGTAGTTATAAAAAAAAAAGTGGGGTGTAATTTTTATTTATGCAATAAATTAAAGCGGTGGCCGGGAGAGTTTATTTTGATAATAAATAAATTGAAGAGGCGGGCGCGGAGGGACATTAGTAGCTATATATTTTGATGGCAATGAGAGCGTAGATCGGAGAGAGAGAGTAAATAAATAAAATGGGTAAAGGTAGTAGCAGCAGTGGATGTTGTTGTGGATTGAAGGCATGGTTATTGTTCATTGTGGTTGCAGCGGATGTAGTCGCATGGTGTTTTGGTCAGATGGCAGAGAATAGTCAAGATGAAGTAAGTATAAGTATATATACACAATTCATTCATTGGTTCGTTCATATATTCGATCATAAATAAATATAATGTATGATGATGATAGGTGAAGAGCGTTGGTGTATTTGGGGTAGAGTGTACGAAGAGGAGAAACGGGAGAGCGTCTGAGCTGGGGGCAATAGCAGCGTACTCAGTGGGAGTCGCTCATTTGGTCGCCCTTTTCCTCGGACGCTGCGCCTGGCTCACAGGTCTTCCGGAATATTGTGGCAGGTCCGGCCGCTGCCCGCCGGGAAATCCACTGTCCTTTTTAGCGTGGGTCCTAATGTGGTACGTATGTAATGGATCACGCATCCATCCATATACATATATATATATATATAGATACATACATACTGGTGACTACTGACTGGCTAGCTGATGATTAGCTAATGATGATCGATTATTTATGAATCAATGAATTCCATCTGGGTGCACGCGCGCAGGGTTTGTTTTGGGGCAGCAGAGTTGGTGCTGGTGAGGGGAGCGAATGCGAACAAAAAGTCGTCCGGGATTTCGTGTCACATCTCTACCGATGGGTGGCTCAAGGTGGGAGCATGGTTGGCCGTTGCCCACTCCCTCTGCGCATGGGCCTTCTATTTCTTTGCCGAACAAGCCTTCTCTGCTGAATATTACCCCGACGCCAAACCCTCCAAATCCACTGCCGCACCGGCTTAATATATTCATCCCCCACACTCCATCTTATGTATCTTCATTATGCAATACTAGCTCTCGTTACTTATGTCGTCGTATGTATACACCAATTCAATTCCAACTACATACATACGTACCGTGCCTACTCCATCTTTATAATAAATAATACATCACACATCTCATGTGAAATGCCAAATGTAGATGCATTACAACCACAGATAGAGAGGGATATATTGCGATTGAGGTCGTTTTTGTTGGGATTAGTTAATCTTAATTCTAGCAACAATTATAATTATTAAATGAAGTCACATGGGAAGTTGGATATCTAGGGAAACTGAAAGGTTGTCTAGAGAATTAGAGAAACTTCTAGAAAATTAGTATTAATTATCATGTTTTTTTAATGCCTATATAAAGGGCCACCATTGTACAATTTTCAGGGGTTGAAGTGGATGAAGCAAATTATATTCTCCTTCATAATACTTTCGGTATTGTGTGTGTGTGTGTAACCTCTTCCGAGTTATATTCCGATCTTGGGCCAACAAATTAAATTGGTATCAGACCCACAGGTTCGTGAAGTGAACGAAGAAAAATGGCAGCCACTATGTTCGGTCAACTTCCTCAGTTGACAAAGACAAATTTTGATCGATGGAATGCCCAAATGAAAGCATTGTTTAAATCGCAAGGTGTATGGGACATTGTAGAGAACGGATATACTGTGCCGGAAGAAGGGACTGTGTTAACGGTCGCCCAACAAACAGAGTTAGAAGGAGCTCAAAAGAAGGACCAGACAGCACTATTCTGGTTACTTCAAGCCGTTGATGACTCCATCCATGAGAAAATAGCCGATTGCGCTACTTCCAAAGAAGCGTGGGAGACCATAGAAAAGGTGTTCAAGGGTGGCGAACGAGTGAAGCAAATAAAGCTCCAAACTCTTCGTGGAGAACTAGAGTCAATGCGGATGAAGGAGACCGAGATGGTGGAGGAATACATCAATAGAGTGATGGCCGTGACAGCCCAAATGAAAAGGAATGGGGAAGCAGTAGGTGAAAGTCGAATAGTTGAGAAGATTCTACGAACGCTCACTGAAAAATTTGAGAGTGTCGTGTGCGCAATAGAGGAGGTCAGATCTCTCAAGGATTTGACGCTAGAAGAACTCTCAGGATCATCAGAAGCATATGAGAAAAGAAAGATGAAACAGGAGGAATCGCTTGAGGAAGCCCTGCAAGCAAAGACCACCATAGAGGAAGAAGAAGCTATGTACGTCCAACATCCACATGACCGAGAGCGAGGGCAAATACGTGGCCGAGGACGAGGACGAGGTTGAGGCCGAGCAGGAGGCAGAGGTGGTCATGGTAACCGACCAGATGTAGAATGTTACAATTGTGGCAAATATGGACATTTTGCAAGAGACTGCTGGTCAAATAAGAGGCCCGCTGGGAATGTTAATGTGGCTGAGCATGAAGATGGAAAAGAAGGAGTGTTGCTGATGACGCATAAAGAAGGAGACTCGGGAAATGATACAACCTGGTATCTTGACACCGGGGCGAGTAATCATATGACCGGGCACAAGCATTTATTCACCGAGATTGAAGAGATTGATGGAGGAAGTGTTTCTTTTGGAGATGCTTCAAGAGTTGAAGTCACAGGCCGAGGGAAGATCCGATTCTTACAAAAAAAAAATGGACAAGAAGGAACGATCGAGGACGTATACTATGTCCCGGACATGAAGACAAATATTATAAGTATGGGGCAATTAATGGAGAAAGGGTACTATGCCGACCTAAGAGGTCGATATTTACATTTGAAGGATCGAAGAGGTCGAGTTGTTGCTCGAGTGGAGATGGCCAGAAACAGAATGTACAAGTTAGATCTGAGGAGCGTAAACCATAAGTGCTTGAAGGTCGACCTGACGGACAAGTCACTCTTATGGCATATACGCTTTGGTCATTTAAATTTTGGTGGTTTGGCCGAGCTGAGCAAAAAAGGGATGGTGCATGGATTACCGAGATGGATTTTCCAAAACAATTTTGTGAGGGATGTGTGCTCGGGAAGCATGCTCGGAAGAGTTTCCCAAGGAAGACGAAGTATCGAGCAAAGGGACCATTGGAGACTGTTCATACAGATATATGTGGGCCGATCACACCATCATCGTTTAGTGGTCGAAGATACTTCATGACATTCGTGGACGACTACACAAGGAAGACCTGGGTATATTTTCTAAAAGAAAAGTCGGAGGCTTTTAACACATTCAAAAAATTAAAGGCCGAGGTTGAAAGGACGACCGGACTCAAAATAAAGGCTTTGAGGTCGGACCGTAGAGGAGAGTATACATCAGACCCATTCAAAAGGTTCTGTGAAGAAAGAGGAATTAGAAGATTCATGACCGCCCCCTATTCGCCACAGCAAAACGGGGTGGCCGAGCGGAAGAATCGGAGCATATTGGATATGGTGAGACACATGCTGAAAAGCAAAGATATGCCAAAGGAGTTTTGGGCCGAGGCGTTACGGTGTGATGTCTATGTGCAGAATAGGTGTCCACATTCAAATCTGGAAGACCTAACACCTCAAGAAGCATGGAGTGGTCAAAAGCCGACCGTGTCACACTTGAGGGTGTTCGGAAGTGTATCTTATGCGCATGTACCTGACCAAAGGCGTATGAAACTCGAAGACAAGAGTAAGAAACTGGTGTTCATAGGTTATGACGAGAAGACAAAGGGTTATAGGTTGTATGACCCTGTTGAGAAGAAGATAATTGTCAGTAGAGATGTGGAGGTGAATGAGGCAAGTAGTTGGGATTGGAACAGAGAAAAGGAGCATGAGGATGAGGAAACACCGGCCGACCTCACTATACCAATGCCGATGGTCTCACCACCAAAGCCGATCGATCCTCCATCCAGACCGACCTCAGACGATGAGGAAGAAGAAGAAGAAGAAGAAGAAGAAGAAGGGCCAAATTAGCGGAAGTATAGAAACTTGCAGGAGATATATGAGACGACCCCAGAGATACACATGGTGTGTCTATTGGCAGACGGGGAGAATATTACTTTCGAGGAGGCCGTCAAAGATGACAAGTGGAGATGCGCCATGGATGAAGAAATCAAGTCGATTGAGAAAAATCAAACCTGGGAGTTGGCCGACCTCCCGAGAGGTCACAAGCCGATCGGAGTCAAGTGGGTTTACAAGAAGAAGTGTAATGCTCAGGGCATGGTCGAACGATACAAAGCTCGGCTGGTTGCAAAGGGCTATAGACAGAAGGCTGGAATAGACTATGATGAAGTGTTCGCACCAGTAGCTCGGATGGATACAATTCGATTGTTGACTGCATAGGCAGCCCACATGAAGTGGCCGATATACCAAATGGATGTAAAATCAGCATTCCTGAATGGAACTTTGGAGGAAGAAGTTTATGTCGAATAGCCGCCCGGCTATGTTCAGGTCGGACAACAAAAAAAAGGTGTTGAAATTGAAGAAAGCTTTATATGGGCTAAAGCAGGCACCGAGGGCATGGAACACTCGGATTGACACATACTTCAAACAAAATGGATTTGTGCAATGTCCATATGAGCATGCTTTATATGTGAAGAAAAGTGAGATTGGAGTTCTGTTCGTCGCACTTTACGTGGACAATCTAATATTCATGGGAAGCAATCACAAGATGGTGATGAAATTCAAAGAAGAAAGGAAGAAAGAATTCGAAATGACCAATTTGGTCCTAATGAAATATTTTTTAGGACTGGAGGTGAAGTAAGCTGGGGCCGGGATTTTTATCTGTCAGGAAGCCTATGCTAAGGAGATCTTGAAGAGGTTCAATATGGAAGAGTGCAAGCCAGTCAGAACACTAATGGAGACCGGAACCAAACTTTCCAAATTTGGGGGAGGAAATCGAGTCGAGGCAGGACTGTACAAAAGCCTGGTCGGTGCCTGAGATATCTGACTTGTACAAGACCAGACATAGCATACAGCGTTGGAGTGATCAGTCGTTTTATGGAAGAGCCTTGTCAATCACATTGGAAGGCGACAAAAAGAATTTTGAGATATATTCAAGGGACGAAGTCGCTCGGACTTCTGTACAAGAGGTTTTGACGAGTTCAAACTGGTCGGATATTCTGACAGTGATTGGTGCGGGGATATTTATGATCGAAAAAGTACAACAGGCTACGTCTTTAGCCTGGGGAGCACGGCGTTTACATGGTTATCGAAGAAGCAGCCGATTGTGACACTCTCGACGTGTGAAGCCGAGTACGTAGCTGCATCTTATTGTGTGAGGCATGCCATTTGGTTGAGGAAAATGTTGACCGAGCTCGAGATCGGAGAGACGAAGCCGACCCCGATTTTTATGGACAACAAATCAGCAATTGAGCTAGCTAAGAACCCAGTACACCACGAAAGGAGCAAGCATATAGATGTAAGATTTCACTTCATCAGGGAACAAGTAAAGACTAAGGAGGTCATGCTGACTCATGTGGCGAGCCGGGATCAAGCAGCAGATATATTTACGAAGGCGTTACCGATCGCATTATTTGAACATTGCAAAACAGCGCTCGGATTAAGAGATGGAAGAGAATTAAGATTAGGGGAGGAATTTGTTGGGATTAGTTAATCTTAATTCTAGCAACAAATAATTAATAACATTAATTATTAAATGAAGTCACATGGGAAGTTGGATATCTAGGAAAACTGAGAGGTTGTCTAGGGGAATTAAAAGGCATCCCTAGAGAATTAGAGAAACTTCTAGAAAATTAGTATTAATTATCATGTTTTTTTAATGCCTATATAAAGGGCCACCATTGTACAATTTTCGGGGGTTGAAGTGGATGAAGCAAATTATATTCTCCTTCATAATACTTTCGGTATTGTGTGTGTGTGTGTGTGTGTAACCTCTTCCGAGTTATATTCCGATTAATCTTGGGTCAACATTTTTGCTCTATAAAGAAATAGGGGTAGACATATGGTTTGATTTAATTACCCACCTACCCCATATAGTAGAGGGAAGATAAGGCACAAACCAATATACTCTACATATAGATTCCTCTCATGAACTTATCTCAGACCAAACATATGTCCAAGAATCGTCATTAGGGATGCCCCAAAGTTTAATTGATTCCAGAAAATTGAAATTTCAATGGTAATGAGAATGTGTTTGAGTCGGAGGATAGATCTTACACATATATTGACAATGTATTTATATGGTTGAATTGCTCAAAAAGAGTATACATAGCACGAT